GAAGTCAACATGGCATCGCCTGGCTCCTGGCCCAGCAGGGGTGTAAATGCATCACCCTCGGAAATAAACATACTCCTCCGCTTTTCTTGGCCTTCATAACTGCACATCCATCTTTCTCTTTCCTGTGTATTCTCCAGACCATCTCAGATCTATTTCCACTCACCTCTACTGCCCTGATCCACGCAATGCATATTTACCCACCTCTTTGAGGCCCTAGACATTTTAAAATGGAAGAAATTGAGTATGTCATTAACATGACTCTAACATAAGTAAAGCTTGGCACCATCCCATTTCTACTTTTTGTAATCCTCCTTTCCACCTTGTTACCTCTTTCCTGCCTGTCCTCAGACATCTAGTGTTCTGTACAGCCTTATTATTACCCAGGACTGACCGTCTCCTTCCCTGTTTCCTCTGCCTCTGGAAGGAAAGCATGTAACCAATGAATCCACACAGATATACTAAAGACTCTAAAGACTAAAGATCACTTGATACATACACCCAACACAGGCATATTCTCTGAGAAAAGAAGATGGTAGCAATACAAACAAAATACTGTGGAATCTGCCACTAAGCCAGGATGGGAAGACTATTTCTATGTAAATTGCTCTTCCAGAAATATCACACAACACAATGACTCAGCCAAATACCTGGCACCTAGTAGGTGTTCTGTAATGGGATTGACAGTGGATTTCTCCTATGAGGAAGCTAAGCTTGCACAGATTTTGAAAGTTGCAAATCCCTCTTTGGTACCTATTTCCTTCCTGCCGAAGAAATACAGCCAATCACTTCCTCCTTCATTCTTATATCATACACAATCCTAGTACTTGGGATATAGCTGTCCTTTTAGGAACTTTCAGTCCAGTGTGGGAACAGAATATCATGTGTAATCCAGAATAGTGTGGTATGTGCTGTAAATAGGGTTGTTATGGGGGAATGTAGGGATGTACGCAGCATGGCTTTGGATATCCCTGGAGATAGTTACTCCTAAGCCAAAGTCTGAAGGGCAAGGAGAGAATCAGGGGAAGGGAAGAGGGAGGTGCTCCACAGCGGGGACAGAATATAGTGGGGTGTGTTAGAAAGGGTAAGAGTTTGTCACATCTGCAGCTCTGGGGTCGTGTGGGGTGAAAACAACAACCACTACAGCAAAAGACACTTACTATTTCCTGTGTGGAAGCCAAGCATGCACACCCTCTTCTGGCTTCAATGTCACCTTCAACATGAGAGCCAAGAGACCCACCATGCTTGGTGCTCCACTGTCCATCACCCACAGCCTCGTTACCACTCTTCTGAGAGGTCTCAGGACTCATTTCATCATGTCCTCCATCCCTATGTCCATAGTCCCTCATTGAAACCCCAGTCAGGTCATTTCTTATCACCCGGACCATCTCCACAGAGCTCTGTACCTCCCTGAACCTGACCCAACCTAATATCACACTGAGCTCTCAGACCCTTCCACTCCACCTTGCTGGGCATGTCATTTGTCATTGCCAAAATCCTCCACTCTTCAGCCTCCCCTCTGAATGATCTCCCACCTTTTTGTTGTGCTCTTCCAGAGGACCCTGCTTCCACAGCCTGTCTCTCAGCAAGGGCTGTTTTCCCTCTGAACTGACCTATCACAGGGTCTGGAGGAAGGGAGGGGTCTGGTTTCTTCTCATCACCACCTCCTGTTAATTTTAACTCCTGCCTCCCTGAAACTCTCCATCTCCTTTGAAGTCATGCCCTTGTGAGCTTCTCTTCTTCGCTGGAGTCATCTGAAGGTCTCTGAGACACTCATGCTCATTCTTTGAATACTTGAGCACCAGGTTCACCATCTTTCCCAAACCCTCCTCTTGTCACAATGCTTGGCAATTTCAAAATCCATGCAGAGGATCCTTCCCCTCCCCAATCTCTCACTTTTGTGACCTTCTCTCCAATGATCTTGTCCTTCCCACTACTGCAGCCATTGATAGATCTTGCCCTGTAAATGACCACACACCGTACAAAATTACAAGACTTCTACTTCAAAGCTTTCCCTCTCTGGCTCCTGCTTTCTATCTGCCCAGCTCACTCTCTTCAGTCCTTTGATTCCAGGAATTCCTCAGCCCCACCACAATCACCAGTCCATTAATTCTACCAGTTTTTTCACAGTCCCAACCACTCATATTCTCATTTCCCTCTATGCCCATCTCAAACTCCACAGCCCCCATTGTAACCCCTTCCTTGCAGACCCCTTCCACTCCCTTGCCATTATTCTCTTTGTTGCACTCACTTGGCTGAATTGTAAATGTGGCTAATGGTAAATCCAACTCTCAGTCTATTCTGTTCCTCCTCCCCAACTAGTTGAATATGGCAAGAGGAAACAATGCCAAATAACGTGATTTGTAACCCCTTCCTTGCAGACCCCTTCCACTCCCTTGCCATTATTCTCTTTGTTGCACTCACTTGGCTGAATTGTAAACGTGGCTAATGGTAAATCCAACTGTCAGTCTATTCTGTTCTTCCTCCCCAACCAGTTGAATATGGCAAGAGGAAACAATGCCAAATAATGTGATTTTAAGCCCATGAGTACTAACCTCAGCTGAGCGATTGGTATGGCCCAAGTATCCTTCAAGAGACAGCACAGCATGTGGAGAGTTTATGCAGCCAGACTTTCCAGTTTAGATTCCGAGCTCTGCCCCTTATGAGCTGCACCATCATGAGATATTTATCTTTATGTTCTGTGCTTCAGTGTTTTAATCTGTAAAATGGGAAGAAGAATAATACTTATGTCTGGGATTGCAGTGAGGATTACATTAGTTAATATACGTAAAGTGCTTAGAAAAGTTTCTGGCACATAATGACCCTATATAATGGTACATGATCATCATCATCATCATCATCATCTTATTACATTTCCTGGGTCCACTTACTCTTCTGCTTGCCTAGAAAACCATTTCACACATTTTCTACCCCTCTTTCTTTCTCACACAGCCCTAACCCCTACTCAACCTCCTCACTTTGAATCAATGATCTTGATTACTATTTTACTGAGAAAATAGAAGTAAACAAAAGAGAACCTTCTCCACTCTGAGTCAATGAACATACCCCAGCTATACCCATCTAGTTGTTTCCCTCTTGCTGCTATGAATGAGCCCTCTGTACTTCCATCTAAGATCGGCCCCTCCACTGTGCCTTAGGTCCCATCAATTCTCAAAGTCATCTGTCTAGTAATTTCCCCTCACTCTCCTGCATCAGTGATTCACTGGATCATTCCCATCATCCTATCTACATGCTGTAGTAACCTTCCTCAATCCATCAACCTCGAAGTAGCTACCCATTTCTCTCTTTCTTCTTTACTGCCAAACTGCCTCAATGCCTCTATCTCCTTGCTTCCCATTTTTCCCTAAATCCACTCGTATAATGGTTTGTTTGTTTTGTTTTTGTTTCCCCGCCCCCCCCCCCATCGTTCCATCAAAACTGCTCTTATCAGGGTTACCAAAGACCACTCTGTTGGCCAAACCAGGGTAACTTCCCAGTCCTTGTTTTTATTTGATTAACAGCAGCATTTGAAATGGCCAATTACTCTTTCCTTGAAACTTTTCTCTCTTGGCTTCTGGGATACCACACCCTCCTATTACTCTTGTTTCCTTCTTGGCCACTCCTTCTGCTTCTTTTGCTGTTTTCATCTCATATTCTTGACCTCTAAATATTGCAGGTCCTGAAGGTCCAACCCCTGGCCGTCTTTTTGTCTCTACTTACTCTGACTTCCTTAGTGATCTCTGCCAGTTTAAAACATAATAGCATCTCTAAGCTAATGATGGCTGTATTTATATGCTTTTTCTCCAGATAGCCTCACGGCTTACTCTATTTCTTCCTACAGGTCTTGGTTCAAATTTCACCTGACAGAGAGGCCTTCCCAGTCCATTCTAAATAAAATAGTCTTCCCACCCCATCAGTCTATATCTCCTTATTCTGTATTATTATTATTATTTGCACAGCACTTTTCTTCTTCTGACATATATTTATTTGTATATTGAAAGCCTTTGAGAATGAGGACATTATCCAGCTCACAGAGAGCCTTGCACATAGAAAGCTACCAATAAATGTTTGTTGAATAAAAGCACAATTTCATTCAGTCCTGACAATACCCCAACAATCCTATTAGAAGGATTATTACAGATGAAGAAACAGAATCAAGTTAACTCATTATCACACAGCTGGCAATTCAGGCAGCCTGACTGCTACCCACATGCTTACCTACCTTGCTACGGAAGCCAGAAGGGTACACAGGATCAGAGGGTTCTTTCACTAGGTACAGAGTTTATGTTGAGGGCAAATAGAGAACTGCTGGGGTGGTAGTGGTGGGGAACACATGGGAGTGACATACCCTAGTAAGGTGCTGACTCCATCCAAAATGTGCACATAATTGCCCATCTCCAGTTCCTACGTCATTAAGTCCTGCCAACTCAGAGACTGCCGTGGTGCTTCATTGGAAAGTCTAGGCTGACAGTAGATTATATGTATGCTTTGTCAGCATCAAACTGACCTGTGCTGACAATATTTAAGTCAGATTTAGTTAAGAGCTTCAAATCAATGCTACCTTGAGGTCTCTGAAATTAAAGCCTTTTCTTGCTGTTTCCATAGCAGCCTGATAGTTGACATAATCCCCGAAGAAGCTTATGTTAATACCTAAGGACCATTTACAGTTCTCATGCACTGCTGACCTGAATGCCATGACTAGAGCTAGATATACTAGCAAAATTTTGAGCTATTTAAAGAACATAGGATAGTCCAAACTATAGTGAAAGAGGATACGGTTTTCCAAGAACCTGATTAAATAAACTTTTAAAATACACGTCTTTTAAATATTTGACTTCTTTAAAGTTTAGTGCTCCATGGATTCTGACCTTTCAGGTACCTCACACATGGGGGTTGTAAGATGCAAAGGATATTTTTATGTAGGTAATAAATGCATTCAGTTAATAGATCTAAAATTTGCCATGTTTCCATGGGGAAATGAACTGCTGTTTTCTGTTTTAAAGGGAACCAGGTGTTCACCCTCCAATACCTCCAAAGCCCAGTTCTCCTGTTTCTTCTCCTAACCAGCTGAGACGGGATAATAGGTAAGACCTAGTACTCCAGAATTCCTTGACAAAATGAAGTTCAAGGGAAATGAAAGCAAATGGATTGTGACCCTCTGTGTGCAAAGCATGAATGTTTTGTGTGCACATTCCCTAAAGAAGCATCTGTAGAACTTTTTCTAATTTTATTTCCCAACACATATGTTTATTTATGTTTGCCTTTGAATACTAATGGCTAACTTGTCTTAAGAAAATATGCCTTCAGGATAAAAATGGAACAATATTCATGTTCAGAAAGTGTTTGTGCACAGGCTTTTTTATATATTAGTTCCTAATATGCAAATATAAATACATCTATGTATTTGGCCTGTATTATATATAATATAAATATAAACCATATTAAAAGTATATTTTTTGTTCATATTTGCTCCAAGTTAAGTTTCCCACTAAGAGATACAGATTCTGATGAAAGATGTTCTTGAAACTTTGTGTTACCACTCAAATCCTTGCTTATGTTAGAAATACCTTTTGGTAGTTCTTTAATCTTTTTTTTTAGTGAAGGGATTTGTAATTTATTTCAAAACTATCACAAGTTTTGAAAGATGTTCTAATTGACTTGTCTCTGAATCAGGAAAAATAGACTTGCTTCTCAGCTTTGAATCTCTGTCACTCTATAATTAATACTTGGAAACAAATTCAGAGATCTGAAACTCTTCCCATGTGTTACATTTAAACTGTTTAATATATCTTGAACAATTTTTCGAGATGTACACCCCACATTTCCATTATTATTGTGAGATTAGAAATGGTAACTCAATGAAGATTGACTACATTAGATCTGCTTGATTGCCTACTGTTGCTTCTTTTGTATTTTTGCTCTTTGATGGTTATTTTTTTGACACCATGTAAGACACAATTATGAAACTATTCTTTAATAAGACACAACTATAGAACTATTTTTTAGTAGTCACAATTATAGAAATTTTCTTCATTAAGAGGGTAACTTCAGTTAGAAAGCTTTGACTGGGCAGCAGGACTATGTAGCAATAGGTGTTAAAACTCCAGGTTTGAATTTCTGTTCAGTGAAACTGCACAGTATCTTTGAAATTTTGTCCTTAGGATGAGAACATAATTTTTTAAATTGAGTCAGGAGAATATTTCTTCACTGAACTAATTAAAATATAGATTAGATTTATAACTTTTTGTTTGTATGATGGTTATAATGATCTCTTAAAAATATCTTCTCAAGCTTTTTAATCTTACATTATTTTTCCTCTAACATTTCTAGTATTAAGTAATTAAATACCAATTTGAATAGAATTTTTTAAGGGGCTAAAATTAATTGGCCTTAGTACCACCGACATTCTAATCTATAATCAGCATCACTAGAACTACTAGCTTGTTTAAATTTAAGGAAGCCAAATTTCACAGGAACTTACTACTCAAATTTCTTTATTCCACCAATGATCTAAAAAATAAAATTGGGACAACTTGCATGTTTTTTAAAATCCTGACTACTTTAATCACAGCAAGATGATTTTAATGAAAGAATATGAAATGGAAGTGTTTCCTATGTAATTAACGCATGTCCTCAGGAGTACAAAAAATAGTTGAATGTAGCTTCTTGAGAACAAGTAGGAATGTATAAGTAGGTCAACCAGATACTTTTGAAAAGAGTAGAGAAAAGTCTTAAATTGTGCCAGAACCTAACATAATAAAATTTAATTCTGTCAGCTTAGTATGGTCATTCCCAATGTGGTAGGTGTACTTGAAACATAGACTTCTTTTTCCACCTTATATTAACAAATATATTTCTTGATAGTATTCAAATGGGTTAATTCTTTAAGCAAAAAAAAAATCTCTTTGATGCCCATAACAAAAATTAATATTTTAAAATATTATATCGTTATCTAATAGAGATAAGTATGAAAATGCTTTATTGATGGAGAACAAAAAATCAACATAAATGTATTTAGAACTTATAAGTCTAGATATATCCAGTGGTTTACAAATATGCAATAAAGATAGATTAAATTACAAACTCATTATACTGGAGTTCCTGCCAACCCAAAGAGTTTAAGTTTGTTATCTCAGGTATGGTTCCAACAAACACTAATCTTTTTGTACATAAATTTTTAAAAATAAATTTAAATTTATCAAAAAAGTGTCTTCTTTTCTGACTGATATAATCTTTAACTTTGAAAATATAGGCAGATACATCCACCTAAACCGGGTGTATATACAGAAACCCACAGATCTGCTGAAAGAAATATAAGGTAAACTGATTTCTATCTATATCTACATAACTGTAGCAATGATAAAGTATGCTTTCTCAGCACATTTAAAACTGCAAGGCAATTAATAATAAGGTAGACAAAATCAATTTTCCAACTGACTCCAAAATATCAATAAATGTTTTTGTAGGCACTTTCAGAATTTTGTTTCTTTTAATTCTATCCCAAACTTTCCATTAAGAAAACTACCAAAATGGTGTGAACAAGATAACAGGATAAGATCAAACCCACTAAAGGCAGGAGAGCTTGCTCACCTCTTTATTCCCAGGACCTGCTCTGAGGTCTATCATATACTTGGTGTGGATGTATAAACAAAGAGGTGGAAATAGAGTTGTTCAGTTAAACTTGTGCTACAAAAACTTTGTCTAGTGTTGGCTGAACATAGGCATGTCCAACTCCTCCTACGGCATCAGGAAGAAGCACATTGATGCCATTTGGTAAAGGGACATTCACCAAATGTCTTGGGTGGGGGTAAGGTGGCATTCCCCAAATGTCCGGTGTCCTGATTTACACTTCCCATTTATACTTGTTGTCTTGCACATCCTATTTAGTCTAGCATTTGTTCTGGATGTGTCTTGTTTTTCTCCCCTTTTTAAGGAAAAAAATATTTTTTTTTGAAAATAGTTTTTAAACAGTGCTATTTTATAGGTCTATCAATGTGATAAACTATTTTTTCAGTCAAAAGATTTTTATCACTGAAAAGTTATTTTGAAATTTAAAACTTATATCCTTTTCATTTTTTATATTATCCCCGTTTGACTCTCAGAAGAGTCCCATTCTAAAAGACACATCACATAGATTCTCTTCTTTGGAAAAAGTCATGTTTCCCTTGTTCCGAGGAGCTGACGGCACCACTCTTGGCATTCCCCAGCCTGTGTTCTATGTGCCACAGGATGTCAATGCATGTTCTGCAAAAGAAGAGTTCAGTGTTTCATTACATTTAGGAAACACAATTAAATAGAGTTTTCTGCCACAGAACTTTTCAGAATCTTTAGTGTGCTTATGTGTATTCCAAATCAGCAAAAGTCGGTTACATTTCCCAACCTGGCTGCAGAATCCTTTCTTCATGGAACCTTATTAACCCTCTGTCTATGAGATGCTGAGTTCTTTTCTTTTTTCTTTCTTTTTTTGAACAGGATCTTGCTCTGTCACCCAGGCTGCAGTGCAGCAGAGAACTCATAGCTCACTGCAGCCTCAAACTTCTGGGCTCAGGAGATCCTCCTGCCTTAGCCTCCTGAGTAGTTGGGACTACGGGCACAGGCCACCACACCCAGTTAATTTAAAATGAAATTTGTATGTGGAGATGGGGGATCTCTGTTGCCCAGGCTAATCTTGAACTTCTGGCCTCAAGGGATCCTCCTTCCTTGGCCTCCCAAAGTTCTGGGATTACAGGTGTGAACCACCACACCCAGCCCACAGTTCTTAATTACTATAAGAATTTTCCTAACTGTTCCTTTTATGATCCAGGGATATCGGCATTGATCTGATTTGGAATACACAAGCCGTCTATGTGCTCAGGTGCTTCCACCTATTCTAGAGTCTGAGAAGACAAACATTTTCACCGCTACAGGGTGAAAAGGAATAAATAATTGTATCTGATACTTAATGCTGCTTGGCTCTGGTGGAAAACCTTTTGAACTCACTTCTGTGTTTACTTGTTAGTTAAGTGGGTTTTGTTTTCTATGTCCTATTTGTAACATAGAACCTGGGAGCTGGCAATACCAGTCTTCAGGAGAAAATGTAGTTATTTCAGTGAGCACTAGATGGCAGAGCCAACACCCAGGTGGAATAACAGAGGGAAGTTTTGTGTGCGTGTGTGTGTGTGTGTGTGTGTCAATGGGGGATGTGCGTGTCACTGTGTGCCATGAGCTGACATAACAGAACCACTTTGTCTTTCTGTTAAACTCAGTAATTCCTGAACACCACCTATTTACTTTATTTACTGAAAACAAATGAGAAATTTTAGCTCCTTCAAAAAATAGCTCCTCTGTCACTGACCTGTATTTATTTTTCATTGTTTGAAGGAGTCAGGATCTTGATAACATCGTCAAAGTGGCCACTTCACTTCAGAGAACTGACAAAGGGTGAGATCTCCGAGCTTTTGAGCTTGGGTTTTATCTTCTCTTGTGTTTCAAAAATGTTTAACCATACCTTTAAAAGTTCCAAATATGAACAAAATCCTAGTGCTCTATATTGTATATAATTTAAAATAAGAAAGCGTCAGTTTCTCTAGATGAGTACTCCTGAATAGTGGATGGTGCTGACATTTACGGACACTCTTCCAACTCTGCCGCTTTTTCTGGCAATTTTACTCACCCAGTGACCTCAGCTGTCAAGCCTCATTCCACATATCCAGTCCTGTATTTATGTTGCTGGTCCAGATCTCTACTTATCTCCTAGCACCCCTGCTCAGGCTGTCCAAATTCCTTCCCAAATGTGCTGTTCCTGACTTCTCTGTTCTTGCATTCCTGCAGACTCACCTTTCTGGAATAATTCTTGATTCTTCTTTCTCCTTCCCCCTAGGTAGTATCATACATGCTTGAATTAAACATCTAAAATGTTCCTCATGTGTACACAGACTTCCTCTAGTTTAAACCCTCACTGACTTCTGCACAGATTATTAGAGTAGCTATCTAGCTTTACTTACATTCTTCAGGCTTTCCTTCCACTAAACTATTATTTCGCATCAATGCCAGAATTTTTCCAAAGATTCTGCTCAATCACTGAACCAGGTCCTCATTGCCCAAAGCCCCTGCCAACCTGGCTCCAGCCTCACATTCCAGTTATTTCTGTTTTCACACCTGTATTTATCCCACATTCATATCAAGGGAAACCACTTTCTCTCTGTAGTTTCCAAATACTCTGGCTTTGTTTATACCACATGGTAACCTTTCCCAGTCTCAAGCTACCATGCCAGTCCATCCAAGCCCTGCCCATTGTTCAAGATCCGGATCAAGTGGCACCTTCTCTGTTGTCTTCCCTGAGTGATCCAGTGAGATGTGACTTCTGCCTCTATAAGCAATTAGAGTTGCACTATTCATATTTTATAAGACTGAATCATCTCAGTTTTGTTTCCTGTTATTTGCATAAATGTGTTACCTTCTCTGTCATCTCTATAGTCTCTCAGGGCAGATGTTTTGTCTTATTTGCCATTTACATTGTGTGACATGATGCTTTGTACAAAGTAGGTATTGAATAGATTATGGTAAAATCATAATATTCCATTGTTTAAATCCAAAGCTCTCAAAAAATATTCCTTGTTTAATAGATTTTAGTAATGCTAAGAGTGTTGTTAGAGATTGCAGTCTCTGTCAAAAGAACTGCAGAGAAGAAAATATGACACTTGGCTTTTCTGTGCAAATTCATAAACAAAATAGGAGCTCTGAATCCAGATGGAGTCTATAGAAATTGTCCTGAATGTTTCATTTCCGTGTCTTCTCTCATTGAAGTGTCTAGATCTCTAATTTTATTGATTTATTTTTGTTGCAGGTAATATTTTATTTCCAGTAGGGATTAGACAGTGGTTTGGTGGGTGATCAGGATATCTGAGAAACAGCTAAATGAGTGACTCTGAAGGGAAATTATGGTTTGGTGTAAACCAAATAAAAACCGTGAGAGAGGCAGTTAGTTTAACTTTCCTGTCCCTGCTCCCTAGCCATAATGCTCAAATTCCACAGCCAGGTACATTTATCACAGAGAGAAGTTGCTGCCTGACAGGGATCAGGAAAAATGTTCGTAGTAGTCATCATAGAGTATTGTTACTTTGGGCCATCCACAGGGAGTAGACTCACCTTTCGTTATCCGAGCTGCTCTTTGTGAAATGGAATGTTACTGCTATCTGATTAAGAGCATTTAATTTGTTACAAATACAATGGTGAAACTTAATATCCAAAGCTTTCATCAATTTAGAAGTCATTTTGAAAGCTTAAATCTTTTATTTGGAATACAGTATCCGTTTTATTTAATTTGCCACAGAGTGTCTTCTCATGATTTATGCTAATTTTCTTGGGATAAAGCAACTCCAAATCCTGATAATCTCATCATTGTGACTCATGCCAGTCAGAAAAGTCTGGGGCTAAGATTTATAGAACTCGTGGGTTTGCTCTTTCCCTTGGGGACATGAACAGATTGTTAGTCTCAGAGTTAGTGGGTAGAATTTCAAGCAAGAAACAGTAATGGGTTACTGTATCAAGGGACTGGGTAGTGTTTGTCACACGCAAGGAGAGAGCATTAACCTTTTTTTTTTTTTCTTTTTTTCTTTTTTCTTTTTTTTTTTTTTGGTTAGAGGTGGCAACTTTTGTATTTCAGTATTTATTATCAGGCATCAATTCTACCACTGATACCTAAAACTACTTGAAAGGATTCATCTATGTACTGGCTGTTAATTTAGGGTCTCTAAGAGGACTACCCTCAGCAGCTATTCTTGCCTTAGTGTCATCGTGCCAGGCATCTTCAAGCACATAAGTGACTCAGCAATTGCATCTCTCTGAAGGCTAAGTCGAATTCTTGGTGTTTCTAAGTGCAATTAAAAAACAAGTATAGCAAGCATTTATTAGGCTGGGCATGGTGGCTCACACCTGTAATCCCAGCACTTTGGGAGGCTGCGGCGGGCAGATTACCTGAGGTAAGGAGTTTGAGACAAGCGTGGCCAACATGGTGAAACCCCATCTCTACTAAATCGACAAAAATTAGCTAAGCATGGTGGTGCACACCTGAAGTCCCAGCTACTCAGGAGGCTGAGACAGGAGAATCGCTTGAACCTGGGAGGCGAAGGTTGCAGTGAGCCAAGATCATGCCATTGAACTCCAGCTTGGGCAACAAGAGTGAAACTCTTGCCTTTTAAAAAAAAAAAAAAAAAAAGTAAAGCAAGCATTTATTAAACAAAAAATTTAGTGTTGACAGGGCATTATTTATTATAATGGCCCAAATTAATCAGGAATTTATGACTGACTAGGCGTCGTGCTAAGTACTTTATATTCATGAGCTTATGATTCTTTTCTGAGGTGGGTATGACTAGTATTCTCATTTTACAAATGGGAAAATTGAGTCCACAGAAGGTTAGGTAACTCGCCCAGATTCACCAATGAATAAGTGATGAATCCTGGATCGTACTCCAGGTGTCCTTAACGAGGAAACTTGAATGCGTAACTACTGATTTGTGAACAGAAAAACTTGCTGAGGAAGGCAAGAGAGGTGGGGCAAGGGGTGTGTGTGTGTGTGTGTGTGTGTGGGCAGGGGGGGCGCGGTCATGAATAGATAAGTTAGAGAAATGACATGCTGTGATGGGGAACTAGAGGAAGAAACCAATAGCACTGTGGTGAAACCCCCACCCCACCTCACCTAGGGTGCCTGCTTGGGAGAGAAAGTTGAACCCATGTGGTTTAAACAGAATTCCTGAACCTAAGAGTTTAGATAGGTTGCTCCTGAAGCAGCAGCCAGAAAGGGCTTTGCAGTTCTCAGATGTGGAAAGAGGCTAGCAAATTTAGCTGACCTGGAAATGAAGTAGCAGAGCTTAAGAAGGAAGCCAGACTTACTGATGAACAAATGTTTTCTAGAAGCTACGTGTGCAGGTACATTGCGCAATGCTGTAATTAATCAAGGTACCTATGTGTAGACTCAATTAAAAGTGGGTATTAAGTATCTACTGTATGAAAGACACTGTATTAAAACACGGAAATGTGTCTGATGTAAAATACAGTTCTAAATTTTAAGTGGTGTGCATACGTGTGCCTGTGCAGAGGTAGGGGCATTAACATGAGACCAGTGTGCAATGGCTATAACTCAAAGTATAGTCACAGATCTGTCATAAAGGAGGTGCAGAAAAAACAAATGCTGCAAGGGCTCCAAAAATGTAGAGGACTCTATTCAGTTAGAGGACTAGGAAAGGCATTCTGGAGAAAGTGGTGTTTGATGAGAGCTTTGAGGATCATCAGGATTTTCGCAGATGATAAAAGTGGCATGTGTTGTATTTCAGAGAACTGTTATTTTAAGGCAAATTTACCCTTTGACCCTGGGCAAGCTTTTTACTAACATTAAACATTTTTTTCTCTTCCCAAAGTGAAGAATTGGATAATCTCATCAAAATGAACAAAAGCTTGAATAGGTAAGATTTTTAAATGTTTATTTTTTACTACTGAGTTGCATATTGTGACTTTTTATGCCTTTCCAGTCTTTGAGCGTGAGGACTCACATACGTAGTCAAAAATATCCTACAAATCTTGAATAAAAGCTTGCAGCAATCATCATCATTTCATTGTTATGATGAATGGTTATTGAAGTCTAAAGATACTAATATGAAAGTGTCCTTGATTTTCATGCTCCATTTGTTTATTAAGGCAGTTATATAAATTACCACTTTTCTCTTCCTGAAATACTAAATCACTAGAATGTAAACAGAATTTGGTTTGATCATGGAATAATTTTAGTTTAACCATTACAAAAAACATTTTATTATCATAGTTAATGTTATATTGTTTATTATTATTTTTGAGACATGGTCTCACTCTCTTACCCAGGCTGGAGTGCAGTGGTGCACACATAACTCACTGCAGCCTTGACCTCCTGGGCTCTAGCCATCCTCTTGCCTCAGCCTCCCAAGTAGCTGGGACTACAGGCATGTGCCACCATGTGTGGCTAATTTTTAATTTTTTGTAGAGATGGAGTCTCACTATGTTGCCCAGGCTGTATCTTCTTGTTTTGAATCATTTATAATTGTGTAACTTGAAATATGCCAAGAGAGAAAAATCAATAATCAAGGCTTGTGTTTGTGGTCTGTATAAGGTAAGCAAGCTCTCTATTATTTTGCACACTAACCCACTAAACAGTGATCAAAGAGAAGGAGAAAACAGGGCAAATGCCAAATGAATTGATCAGAGGATCATGGGACGTGTTTTTCATATCCTGTTCTGGCAACAATGCTCACTTAATTTGCTGCTCTTCAGTTTCCTCATTTACAAGGAGAGGAGGTTTTAGATCCGGAGTCACAGACTCCACGGCCCACTGAGGCCAGGCAGGTGTGAGTGGGTGAGGAGACTGACTATATGAAACACAGGCAGTGAGAGAACCGGGGCCAAAAGGAGAGCAAATGCCCTGTCTAAGCACACAGCTGCTTCTCAGCTCAGCTCCAGCTGAGGGTCTCCACTGAGTCTAGTGTTGCAGGACAGCAGCACATTCTCAGGAGATCCTGTAAATCCAGTTTTGTTGTTTGTTTGTTTTAGAGACAGGGTCTCGCTCTGTCACCCAGGCTGGAGTGCAGTGGTACAATCATAGCTCACTGCAGCCTCCATCTCCTGGGTTCAAGCAATCTTCCTATCACAACCTCCCAAGTAGCTGAGACTACAGGCACCAACACCATGCCTGGCTAAGTTTTAATTTTTTGTAGAGATGGGGTCAGACCATGTTGCCCAGGCTGGTCTTGGGCTCCTGGGATCAGGTGATCCTTCCACCTTGGCCTCTCAAAGAACTGGGATTATAGGCATAAGCCACCACACCCAGCCTGAAAATCCAGGTTTCTGTGTGTCCTGACCATCATTGTAAACATGGGCTCACTTTAAAGCCCATGCTTGAAAGCTAAAAGGATAGAAATGCTCCATGAATCCAAGCAACACCTCTATGGACCTATTGTGGTTGGCAGATCCCCAGTTTATATCTTTTATTTTATTTTCTCTAAGGCCCACTACAATTTAAAATTTGAGTCTATGAAAATACCTGTTTCAAGAATTGTGGCTCATCTTCCCCAACAAGCTTCTGTTCCTGTCTTAGATGTAAACTGGTCTATGTTCTTATAGGGTTAAGCATTGGTCATTGTCACTGATGAGGCTTTTCTTAATCAATACATTTAAAGGAATCAAGGTCTTGATGGTCTCTTCAGAGCAAATCCAAAGGTAGACGAAAGAGAGAAAAGGTAAGTGCATCTGTCTCAAATCTGAAAATCTTATCTTGCAGATTGCTTGTCTTATTCCTTCAGACATTAGCTGTGAGGGAGTTGAATCCTCTGGCATGGAAATGTACTAGCAGATGGGGTAATGCTCTCAGCATTGTACATTTAGTTCAGACATAATTACCAAGAAGGATTTCTGCTCTTCCATTCAATAAGAGTAAATGAGCAGTTCATGGAGAATTTTTATTGCATCTGACCTTTCAAGATACCACACAATTTCATTTCAATATGCAGCCTTTTATGTGAATTTCTTTGTTTTCAGAGCCAAAAGCCTTGAAAGTCTCATCTATGTGAGTACCCGGACAGATAAAGATGGCAAAGGGTAAGATTTTATTAAGACAGACCATTTTGGTTGAGTCCCAGACAGTATACTATTTTCTGGAAGAGAGCTCCTGCTTAGGACAAGGGTCAGGCAGGGTGGTGGAATAAGTCTCAGACTGGGGTCCAGAGATAGTGTGTGTCTTGGTGCTGGCTCTCCCACCAACATCAATCTGGGTGACTCTGGGCAAGCTGTGTAATTTCTGGACATCTCTGTTTCCTCATTCCATAAAATGAAGGATATGACCTAGATGATCTCCCAGTTCCCCTTTATATCTAAAATGGAAAGAAACACAACTAGCTGTCAAGAGTAGTGGAGAATAGGTTGATTTATAAACTAAATACATTTATAATAAGGCATTTAGGAGCATAGTCCCTCACCACTGAAGTCTCTCTGTTTTTTTTTTTTTTTCTTTAAGATAGAATCCTGCTCTGAGGCTCTACTTTGGCTCACTGCAGCCACTGCCTCTGAGGTTCAAGTAATTCTCCTGCCTCAGCCTCCCGAGTAGCTGGGATTACAGGTGCCCGCCACTATGCCCAGCTAATTTTTGTATTTTTAGTAGAGATGGTGTTTTACCATCTTGGCCAGGCTGGTCTTGAACTCCTGACCTCATGTGATCTGCCCATCTAGACCTTCCAACGTGCTAGGATTACAGGCATAAGCCACCACGCCTGGCCACCACTGAAGTCTTTAGAGTGTATAAGGCACTTCTCAGTTGGAATCTTAGTTGAGTCATTTCATATGCATATCTCTTCATATATATTTGTAAATATCTTTAAATGCAAAACTAGGCTTTTATTTATTTTAAATCATAAAATGGGTTAATTAATTATTAGTAACTGAGCTGATAGCATTTAAGAGGTTACCTTGTAGTTCTAGCCTGACTGATACACTAGATAATTGACTTACATGACTGATACTATTTTTCTTGTTGAAAGAAACCAAAGCCATGCCAGTTTCATTAGAGAAAATCCCAGAATAGTCAAGAATGGCAAAGGGCAAGGATTTATGAGATCTCTACTATTTTTGCCTTCCAGATTGGCTGTTTACTTTGTATTTGGTTAGTCATGAAATTTGCCTTTCTAACATGAGAATTATTTCTGTTGTCACAGTTATTTTTAAAAACCATTTATCTGTGCCAGTCTATGCCCAGGATGGCATTCTAGCTTTCCAAGCCAATCTTGGCAATGCATTCTTAACCCTTTCTGATATAGAACACTTAACAAAGTCTATATGATGAAAAGCGTTGGCAGTAACCATCACACAGGCATTGAATGCTTATTAACAACTTATGACTATAATGTAAACATGCCAACATATTGTAGGTGACTTTTTCAAATGTGGAATAGATGAAGTAGAAAAATAGTCTTTTGTTGTTGTTGTTGTTCGTGGATATATGAGCTTTCTAGGAATAGATGAGGTTCCAGATATTTTTCAAAAACAGTTTGGAGAGTTCTGCAAAAGTGGTAGATGAAAGGAAGAGTAGGATGAGCATCATAAGTAGATCATTTTGTGGGCTAGGAAAAAGATTTATAATCTGGGATAATTTGATAACAACTGAGTTTTGGTGCAGGAATAACTGATCTTGTCTGTGTGGTAGGGAAAAAGTCCAAGTTCTTTTTTCTTCTTCCCTTCCTTCTTTCTCACGTTGAAATAACTTAAAATATCGACAGTCTTATCACAGAGAAATCAGAGAGAGGTGAAAATGGCAAAGCATAATACTTGGAAGCTTGGGGGAATTTAAAGAGATTAGCTTTCATATTTGCTAGTGATTGTCAGTCACTGGCATGTGAGAGTTTTATTTCATTTATATAAAGTGCTGGGACCATAACAGTTATTTTGACTTTACCAAGGTGACTTCAGACCCTTTAAACACATCTGCTAACTTTTTAGGAGAAATGACTTGTCTAAATCCTCAAAGTATTTAGACTTAAAATATTGATCAATTGATTTCCACCCCTGATGTAAATGATTTTCATGCTTAAATAAGACAGTATCTCAATATATGTATTAAAATCAGTATCTCAATATATGTGTTAAAAGCCTCCCACTAACCCACCTCCAAGAAAGCAGAAGCCAAGACGTTGGTTAAAACTTTTAAGTTGACTCTATCATAACTGAGTAATGGTTGATATCTTAGTCTCAGGCTGCTGCTTATGCATTTTGCATGATGGATAGAGCCACTTGAATTCAATATTTCCAAGGACTTCTGATCCTTTAGGCACTGATTACATCTTATGAGATTCTCTTGTGGGAAATCTGCTGTTGTCATTACAAGATTCTGAATATACCACTGAGTTGCTCTTTCTCTTTTTTTTCCCCAATGTTTTAAAGAACCCAAAGCCTTGGAAGTCCAATTAAAGTTAATCAAAGGACTGACAAAAACGAGAAAGGGTAAGTAAATCTCCTACCTTGATGGGGCTCTTTTTATTCAGATTAGCTTTTTATACCTCATTAGGAATGGGAGTGCTATGCTTTCCTTTGTGACAGTGAACTCTTGCACTGCTTTGACCCATCAGACCTAGCAGGCAAAAGGAATACGATGAGTGCTGTTTCCTTCATAGGACCTCTGATTTGAGTTACATTGAAGTAGGTGCAAGAAAACCCGCTACATAATCTCTTATTCCATATTTTCTTAAATAATTAAGAGATGAGTCAAATTTTAATTTAAATTAAGAAATACAAAGGACAAAATTGCACAGTGAGAGCCACATTGAGAAGTTTTTCTAAACTGATTTAGACTCGTTTAAATGAAATGCTGTTGTGGAAATTAATAAAGGTAAGTTAAGGATAATTACATCAAAGCTCTTCCTGGTCATTTTGTCCTGAAAATACCTGATATCACATTCAGGGACATTCTTGATTATACAGATTTCAGAGAAAATTGTACTGTAACCTAACTGACAAGTTTTGGTGTTTTTTTCAAAGAAGACAGGATCTCGAATCTGTTGTTAAAGTGAATGCCAGGATGAATAAAACGAGCAGAAGGTGAGAACTGAACAGATGTCTCTAAATATTGGTTATTTTCTCTCATATTAATTATGTGATATTGAGGGCATCCCATCTTTGTTTGGCTTCTCTCTTCTGTGTCTAATCCCTGGTGCCCTGATCTTCACTTCAAAGAATCTACATACAGTATATTCGATCTAAATTTACATTTACATATAACCCAATAAAATCCTAAGGATTAATTAAACTAAGTTATTGATAGGCAATTTTTATCCTAAAAGCCAATTTAATGTCAGTATAATAATTTTCTCCAAACGCTTGAATTAATCATTGGGAATACAGAAGATGTATGTGTCTGATATTATGGGAATGTTTTGAAACTGATATAAACCTTTTTTTTTTAAAGAAGTGAAGACGTTGATAATGCTATCAAAGTAAATCCCAAAGGAAATGAAAATACCACTGGGTAAGAATAATTAATGTCTTTAATTATGGTTTCTGTTACATGTCAATCAGAAGATAAAATAATTTGACTTTTTAGCTTCATAACCACATTTTATTAGCATGGAATTAGACAATAAAGATAGGCCTCACGACCATTCCTCCTTGCCCTCAATAAAACCACTAACTTTTGAGGCATTGTCTTAATGTTTGATAGTAAATTGCCTTTTTGCCCAGATTTTGGGCTTTGATTTGTCTTCAGAGTAAGTGATCAAATTGAATTTTTTGTGCCTAAAGAATGCACAGTCTTGACAAAATCGTCAAAGCGTCTTTCCAAAATGACAGAGATGGCCAAGAGTGAGCCATCATTGAAGCTCTGCTAATTCAACTTCTCTACAGCTCTGCTAATTCAACTTCTCTAAAGCTCTGCTAATTCAACTTCTCTAAGGGTGGTGGTCTCAGGAGGCAGCCCAGGGGACGCTGGGCTGGCACACACAGGGGTAGTGAGGACCTCCCACCACTTTGTCTCCTGTTCAGAGCTGTGTTGACATGGCAATGGCACCCAATCACAGTGCTTCTGCCTTCCCCTCCTGTCCCTTTTAGATTCTGCTTCTGCCTTTTATGGTATCAAAGTATTTTAATGGGGTGGCCTGTGTCCCCTTGGGGAGTGAATCATTAATTTTTCTACTATGTGAGCTGTTTTTTCTTGCCCTTTTTTGCTCACCATAATCTACTCTGAAGGAACTGATATTTAAAAGGGTTTGGGCAAGGTAGATAACTGAGTTTATATGAAAGCATACATTCTTATTCTTTTAGTTAATATTGTTAAATTATTGTTATTATGAAATTATGATTCTCAACATTATTCTTACTACTTAAAAACAGAATAGGCAATTGTATCCAGTTTGTTGAGTAGAAATTTATACTGTCTGGGTCCAGTGTAGAACTTAATCTAACTTAATATTACTTCAATGCTGCCTGCTTGGAGTGTTCTAACAAGATATATCTGAAGACAAAGTTGATTTTGTTAAATAACAAGTTTCATATATACTTATGCATTCTGAGAACAAAACAAAAAATCACATTTATTACTAACAAATAAGCAACCTTAAATGGTCTTCAGCTCAAGTTACAAGAGAATAATTTTCATTTTCATGTAGAGCTTTAAAATTTTACATTGACATAGAAAACTTGTATATTTACCACTTCTTAATTTTTCCAGCCATTATTCATCTGATTAGTGCTATATTTTAACATCATTCATTAAAATTAATTTCCTTTTCCAAAGAAAACAAGACCTCGATGGGCTTATTAAAGTGGATCCTGAAACAAATAAAAATATTAGGAGGTAAGGCATTTGAAGTTCCCCTCTCCCCTTTGTTTGGCATTTAGAAGCATATTAGAATTTTGAGTGTTGGTATTCAGGACAGTAAATTGGAATTCAGGCCAAAACAAACTGAGCTCTTTTTTCTCTAAACACCTTATATTAAGTAATTCTGTGCAAGTGATACACCTAAATCTCCTGCATTTTATTCTTGGGCGAAGTTTGTTATCAAATAAATTTGAGAAATTAAATGAGATTTGGGCTGACCTTCTCTACTGAACTAAATGATTTATTTCTTTGTATGCTAGTGTGAGTACATGTATTAGTGTATGTGTGTGAATATATAAGTAGTGTGTTTATATATAAGTGCATGTATGTATGTGTAAGTGCATATGTATGTAGATGTAAGTAGTGTGTGTGAGTGTATGTGCACGTGTATCAGTAGCATGTGGATTTAAGTGCATGTGTGTATAAATGGGTGTGTGTATAAGCGTGTGTGTGTATGTGTAAGTGCATGTGTGGATGTGTATATGTATGATCTACATGTGCGTGTGTGGTGTATTTGTGTTTAGTGTGTGTATGTGCACGTAGTGTGTTGTGTATTTAAAGATGAAGAGCTTAACAAAGTGTACTTTGTTCTTGCCCGTGAGTTGTCAAGTAAGTCTGGAGAGCTTATATCTTCTTGCTTTTTGTTCTTTATAAGGCAGATGGAATATTTTTGAAACTGAATTTGTTGGTATGTTGCTGGAAACAGTAACATATAATTGCATGTAGTTTCCCTTGAATTCCTTTCCATTCAGTTATCTCAGTTCATGATATTATTTGTCAGTTCTAACGTGTGTCAAGGATGCCTGCAGGCCAGTTGAGAGGGCAAAGGCTTAGGTAGTTGAAAAGCTGGTGTGCACACTGTCAAGCCTGCCCTGTTTGTGTAGTTGTGGCATGGTCAGAGGCACAGCGACCCAGTGAGTTCGAGGCTTGCACAAGCTTGCAACCCATAGATGGAGAAGAAAGCATTGATTTCCTTCAGTACCTGGGTGGTTCATGGAGGTAACCTGAGGTAGTGAATGCGAGCAGGGAATCCAAAAATCGTAGGTTCTAATTCTGGCTCTATCACTTGCTAACTGTGTCCCTGTACCTCAGTTTACTCATTTACAAAAGAGGGATCATAAGATTCTCATGCCAGGCATACAGTAGATACAAGTAATTGTTGCAACAATAAAGATTCAAGTGAATTACATTTTCTTCATAATTTAGTGTTCAAATATTTAATATCGACTTTCCAAGAAAAATCCATGTTTCCTTTTCTAATTTTTATTAAAAATAATATTTCCAGACTGAGTACGGTGGCTCAAACCTGTAATACCAGCACTTTGGGAGGTCAAGGTGGGCAGATCACAAGGTCAGGAGATCGAGACCATGGTGGCTAACACAGTGAAACCCCATCTCTACTAAAAATACAAAAAATTAGCCAGGTATCTCAACTACTCGGGAGGCTGAGGCAGGAGAATTGCTTGAACTGGAGAGTTGGAGGTTGCAGTGAGTCAAGATGGCGCCACTGCACTCCAGCCTGGGTGCCAGAGCAAGATTCTGTCTCAAAAAATAATGATAATATTTCCAATCAGGACTTATTTTTCTTCATATATTGGTGTGTGTGTATGTGGGCATGCCTATGCTCATGTGTGTATGCATGCATGCAAATGTTTTTGTGCATGTGTGCATTCATGTGCATGCATATATGTATATGTCTATATGCATATGTGATTGCCTATGTACATGAGTCTGCGCATTGCATGTGTGTACATTGTACATGTGTGTGATTGCATATGTATGCATGTTGCTTGTTTTCATGAGTATATGTGTAAATATACACATGTGCTTTTGTGTGTATATGAGTGCATATGTACATGTATGTGAATGTACCTGTGTGTGTGAGCGTGTACGTAGCACATGTGTCTATATTTGTATGTGTGTACTTCCTGTGGGCTTTTGAGAATAGTAGTTGTCATTTCCTTTTTCTGAACATAATGAAGTCTGTGGATCTTTTAAAAATAAAGCAATAGCCTTTTACTTTCTCAGTAAAGCCTCGCCAAGCTGATATTTTTCTATTCCAGACTCATTCCTGCCTTAAGGTTTCAGCATATGCTGTTCCCACTTCCTGGAATGCTCAATCCCCATATTGTCACCTTCTCCAATAGGTCATTTCTGACCACAGAATATAATTAAGTCACTGTCCTGTTCCCCACCCCCACTACTGCAGGCACCAACCACTCTTTTTTATTTTCCTCATAACATATATTGTTATTTGGAATTGTGGTATTCATTTATTTGTTTAATTGTATATTGCCTGACTCTTCCGAAGCTGAAATGGAAGCCTTGTGAGGTTTAATCCTGTGTCTACATTGTTCACATTTATCCCAGAGCTTGGGGCAGGGTCTGGCCCATGGTGGGCTTTCCAAAACATATATATACTCTGAAGATAAATATACTATGAGGTATATACTATGAGGTATGGATATATATACTATGAGGGTGGATTGAAGTAACCCATAATACTGAAGATATATATACTATGAGGTATTGCTTTACATACACTCACATATTACTTTACATTATTACATTAATAGTAGATTACTACATTAATCTACTCTTCTTTATGGACTTTATGAACTATGAGATTTAAATAACCTTATTTGATTATGTGCTTTATTTAATATTTAAAGAGATCAAGTCCTAAAATACAGTTAAAGCAAATTCCACAACCAACACAAAGGGAGGAGTTATAATGCTTACCGTTTTGTTATTTTTTTGAATACACAAGTCTGGAAATAGCATCCCGGGAATTTTTTTTTT